AAAAATAAGAAGTGTATATCTAAAAACTATTGAAAGCATTACTAAGGTATTTGACATGAAAGCTTAGGCTGGGAATTGCAGATTTCTTCCCTTTTGCTAACAACATCTAGTAGGAGGTTGATGACAACTCAGAACTTCAGCGAGAGAGTATCAGATACTGTTAACAGAAACCATCTCCATGCCTGAAGAGTCTTGAAACATTTGTGATGGAATGCTTTATTCACCTGACTAGAACACAACCTCTTCATTTTCACAGTTGATGTCTTCCATGGTTACATAATGCTTTGAAGAGCTTTCAGATTTACATTCTGTATTTTTAACTTTATATTCTCACTCCTGAGCAGACACCTTACTTGAGGGATGGACTGAACTACAGCTCTGCAGTGATGCAAATGTCATCTCAGTGAAGCACCTGGTCCCGCAGAGCCACGACTCAGCCACATCCCTCCCCTGTGAGAGCAGTTCATCTTTTACCTATCAGTCTCGTGGTTAAAGCACCCATCTGAGCAGCTGGAGGTCTCAATTAATTCAAATCGACCTCTCCTTTTTGCCATACAAGCATTTACCACACTACGTCTGCCAGCTTCTGAACACCTGGACATACTCAGCACCCGTGGGCTCTGAGCGAGGCAGAGATGCCATGGGGCAGTGGTTTTAGCACACAGTACAGCTTTAGTGTTGGCTTCCAGAATAATTGTTTCTGTACTTGGCATTAATCTGTATTTATCCGCAAAGTGGAAACAGCCTTGAGAAAATGCAAGTCTTCCCTCTCCCACGCTGAGTGCCCTAAGCACTGGGCTGTCAACCGACATGGTTTTTGTACCTCTCTTCTTGGCCCACAGAAGTCTTGGAGCTTTCTCTGGTTCCTACATTTGACAACAGCTGAACTTTGTGCAGGGCTCAAACCTTTGAGGATGAGAGAAGCAGCCTCTAAGCCTGTCCTTGGCTCTGCCACGGTCTGGCACAGTGACTGAGTTTAGTGATGGCTATGGCAAGTGCCTTGAGCAGAGCATCTCTGGACCCATGCAGAAACCACAGGAGGTCCCTCTATGAACCTAAAGACAGGAGAGCATTCACTGACTGAATTTAAACATCTCCAGCAGCCGCAGCCACAGACTGGAATTTGCATATTTTTGTTACAGCTAAATCCTGTGTTGGGTACTTCTTCCACCTCTTCCAGATGCTAGTGTCTGAAATGAGCTCAGGTTGGGAAGAGCCAGTTTCCAGAAGGAGAAGTCTCCTTCTCTGTGTTCAGGCTGCTTCCTTCAGGGTGTGAAGTCACTTTGGTCAGGGAACCACATCCCCCACACCTTGCTTATGGAAACCGGGGTGGAGAACCAGCTAAAGTTCTCCAACTTCACTGCAGCTGAGGATACTCAATTCCAAGTCTATTATCTGAAAGCATTTAAAATTGAAAAGATAAAAACTTAAATACCCTATTTAGCACTTTATTTGACAGATGCATTAAAAAAAAAAAAAAGCCTTTTGCCTAAATTAAAACTATTTTATCTGCACCTGACAGGGAATGCTGTTAATTGAATGACATTTTTAAGAAGTTTCCAATCTGAATTTTGCTCAGTTCTGCAGGCTGCGTATGATCTGAACTACAGGATTATGTTGTGTTATGAAATGACTTGGTTGCTGTCTTGCTTGTGAGAGTTAAGAGTAAAAACTAGCTTACTACACAAATGCAATCCTGATTTTTCTTACTTCAGTTGTACCCACAAGTAAAGGGAGGAGAGGTTTCTGTAGGAGAACTCAGCTCTACAAAATTCTGCTGAAACCTTTTCAAAGTACATAAAGAGTTTCATTCTCATTCCAAAATTACTAAGAGCTCCTACACAAGAACCCACTTGCAACTACCTGGGAAGCAGAACATTACATCCATAGAGGAAAAGCACATTGCTTCTTAAAGAGGTAATTCGTCATGTCACCTGCTACCATATCCCCCTGCCTCATAACTTATTTTTATTGACCAAGGAAAATGCAGGGAAGGAAAAATGCAGTAGGGATTTATTAAACATTAAAAAAGCATAAGAAAATATAAAAAATCTCCCACTTAAACACAATTATTGATAACTTGTCCTAGAGTACAGCATGATGTAAGAAACACTATTACTTTACTTCAGAGATAATGGAGAAGGCAACCATCTGATGTTCTAAGTCAGTCCCTCCTTAAGCGGTTACTGAGGAAATAGATGGGGCTGTTTTCTAGACAGAGAAATCATACACTGGCTTTTTTCTTCCTCTGTCTGGGGGAAATCACTGGCACACCCAAGGGAAGGTCTGGTGCCAGGACTCTGGGGGCATTTTGGGCTGCCAGCTCGGGTAACCCTTCCTTGACTGCAGCAACACTACAAGCGGCGTCTGGAGGCAGGGCTGTTGAGAAGCTGACAGCAAGGCAATCTGCAGGTTTTATGGAGCTGTCAGACTTCTCATAGGATGGATCATGCCCAGAGATAGGTGCACCTAAGGTGCTCCCATAAATCTAATAGCAGATATGAGAACAGCGCTGTTTACAACCAGCCAGAAACTCACAGCTGAAGAGTGGGACTGGCCCAAAGATGCCAGTTCAGGTGCTCAGGCCCCTGCGCAGCCCAACTGGAACAGATCTTGCTCTTCCTGCTGGCCCTGGCTGGCTCCTCGGCCAGGTGCCTTCCCACCCTCTGTGCAGAGCGTTTGCCACAGCTGAGACTCTCCCTCTACCCAGGGCCACAAAGTCTCCTAGAGCTTTTCAGGTCTCTTATTGGATTTCTGAGTCTTGCTGCAGGCTCACTTGTAGGCCTACCTTTAAGTATGACCTTTATATCTTGCCATACTGCTGCAAAGAATAATATTGATTATAATTTGGGTTTACATTCATTATATTATTTAACCTTTTGAAAACAGTCATTCTATATAAGTACTACAAGCAGTTTTAGATATATCAAAGAGTAGTCCAGTCACTCAAGGGGCTGATTCAAAGCATGCTGGGCAGTGCTAGTCTCTCCGCAGCACGTGGTGGCTTTGCTATTCTATTATTGCCTCCCTTGGATCTCTCATGAAGGCCTGATTTTCAAGGTTAGATTGAGAAGGTCATTTGTAGTCTCAGTCTTATAGATCTAGAGAATACTGGATGTGGAGTTGATTGAATCAAAATAAAAATTATTGTAGGAGAACTGTTCCTTGGTGATCTATATGTCTCTGGACAATTATTTTAGTTGCTTCCAACTAAGTACAACTCAAAAATTGTCTTAGAGATACGCCATCAAAATTTACTTGCTTCTTTTATGATTATTAGGAAGAATGTGTTTTAATTGAAATAATAGTGGAATAATGTAATCTCAATAGATAAGTAAATAAAAATACCTTAGCACCCTTCTTTTATTATGTATTTCCCCATCCTTTTGCTAATATCCCAATGAAAACTAAATATAGTGGGTAAATTTATGTTTAATGCAGCTGGGGACAAATCTGAGTAAGTGGTTGGGTTCTTTCAACTCCACCCAAGTACAAAGAAGGGAAAAAAAAGTAAATCAGCCTCAGATTTGCCAGTATAGAAATCTCTCAAATTATACTGTTAAACAAGTTGCAAAATACCATATGCAAAGCATGTCTGAAAGGTTTCTGGAGCTACACTGCAAACCCCTTTAAATGTTTAACAAGAACTATAAGACATACTTGATTAGATTTATAAAAATACTTTTTTTCTCTCAAAAATAATAAATATAAGTGCTGCAATCTGATAGTGAAGTTTTGAGTATATATAACTCAGGATAGCTTTGGGTTAAACTGCTCTGGCTTTTTGCTTTATCAAGTTTTAGGAGAATCAATTCTTAAAAAAAGTTATGTGTCTTTCATGGTAAACATGGAGCTAGAAATCTGTGAAAATTACGACCCCCCCACTTGGGAAAGCAAGTTCACAAAGGTGTTAACAAAAGCCCTAATCCCTCTATCTAGAGCCCAACAGGTTGCTCCCTCCTTCTGGAGAGGTTCACATCAGTGCGTCGCCCTGCATCGTCCTGCCGTGCGATGAGTGTCGGCCTTGCCGTGGGACCTCAGAACTGGCTGCCAGCAGCACACGAGGTTCTCCACACTCACTATTTTAAAAGATACTATTGCTCACGCTCCAGTTATTGAGAATTAGATTCTGTAGTAACAGGAGCTGCACTTTTAATATGCTGTGATTTTTTGTATATTAACAACTTGTAAGTCTGTCTCCTTCCATCAAGAAATTCTCTCTCTCCCAGGCACAAAGTGGTCACCAGAACAAACACATGGCTGAAGGGTTTACATATTGACCCCGTACCAAAACTTGCAACTATTTTCTTGGTGAGGCATATGCTTGTTCTGAAACGAAATAACTGAAAATTGCATATAAATAGATGCACTAGTCATGTAATGAAGGCAACCCTGAAGGCATCTATCTCCCTTCTGAAGAAACGTGCTACTGGGGCAAGTAGGTGGAAGAGCAGAAAACTGAATTTGTATTTCTTCCGACGCAATCTCCCCAGACAACTAACCCGTGGCGGCAGAACCACCGGCGGCTCTCCCCGGCCCTGCGTGCGCCCAGCGCCGCGGGGTTTGCGCCAAGCCCCAGCCAAGCCCCTGCGCTGCAGCCGCACCGGCTCTTCAGGTGCCCAAGTTCAACGGGCCGCACCCCGCGGGCCCCGGCGGCCCCGAGCGGGCTCCGCAGCTAGCAGC